AATTCACTTCTTGTTTCATTGTTTAATCAAGTCGCAATAGATTGGAAAGCATCTGGCGCTGGTAGAAACAAATGGTCTCTGTGCTGTGTAGAAATAATTTCTAGGTCTGTGAGCCATGTGTTCTCTTCCAATGATGAAATCTGTAATCCTGACCTTTGGATTAAGCTTCACTGGGTTCCCATATATTACTACTTTATATCGTCGTCTTTCTCATTGTAAGATTAGACACAAATCTTACGTTTGTGTTAGTATCTAAACAGGGATCTAATCTCAACAAATTATCCTTCCCAGTGGTACTGTAAAGAAGAGGAATCTGTTTTATAGAAAAGCAAGATGGGAGTATGTTGCATATGGCTAAACCTTAGTGAGCGTAAAGATATATCATTTGCATATGCATTTCAAACCGGACGGATTACTGGAGTGTTGGAAAAATCCTAATTCTCAGACGTTTTCCATTAAGTGTTTGTCCTATATATATTATATATCCTGCTGAAAGCATTTTAAAGGGGTCATGAACTGAGAAATCTAAATTCCCTTGATCGTTTGATATATAAGAGGTCATTGTGCTATAAACTTTCACATTAGTCTAAAAACTGCTTATATTAAAGCCAATCTGCCAAAACGACAGTTTGTAAACCGTGCCACTTTATGAGATAATAGTATGGCTAAACACCACCTCCAGAGGAAGATCAACGCCTGCTTCTACATCACTGCCTATTTAACCCTGTCCACCGATTCGCGCATGTAGTGTAAATAACGAGAGAGGCAAACACAGGTCTACACAACCAAATGATAAACTTTATTTGATTAACTTTATTTTTTAATGAAGATCCAGACCGCGTCAGTAAGAACTCACTTCATTTTACCACAGATTCGTTTACAAACAAGGCACGTTTCGACCCAGGATTTTCAGAAAGACTGAAACTAAAAGACGATGCTGTGCTGATTATATTGGATCTGACAGTAATGTGGGAACAAACAAATGTGAGTTGCTAACTGTTTTTATTACATGATCACTATTGCTTTGTCTGTTATTACAGATAGTTTGATATGATTTTTGATATGACACATTTGATTTATGTGTTTTTAAGCTACATAAGTACAGCGTCCATCTGTGAAAGATGTAGGCTGTCAAAAATACACAACTGTTAGCCAATCATAGCAGTGGGCATTTACTTCAGAGTCTACAATCCGCCACGCTTGTTCAAACAGCGTTCTGATGAGGGGGGTCAAAACAGGACAGAAAAAAAGTCTATTACTTCTAAATTATGTTTTGTGATGTAAAAATTTTGATAACATTGTAAGTGGGCCTCAGAGAACAGTAAAATAATAAAAAAAGGCAGTTCATGACCGTTACTTAAAGGCATAGTTCACTCAAAAATAGACATTTGCTGAAAATTTACTCACTCTCAGAACATCCAAAATCCAGATTTGGAGAAATGTAGCATTACATCAATTGCTCACCAGTGGATCCTCTGCAGTGAATGGATGCTGTCAAAATGAGAATCCAAACAGCTAAAGAAACAAACTCATCTACATGTACATCTTGGATGACCTGAGGGTGAGTACATTTTTAGCAAATTTTCATTTTTAGGTGAACTATTCCTTTAATATTCATGCAGTCTACAAGTTTTGTGCTGTAATTTTGTGGTCTCATTTGAACATATGCCACATTTTTTTTAGTTCAAAATGCCATTTTGCATTTGTCAGTTTCTTCAACAGTCATCATCCATGTGGTGACTACAAACTGGAAAGGTTAGATTCGGTGTGACTCATATAATAATTGCAGTAATTGCGATGAAGCTTCTTCCCCGACCACGCGTAGGTTAAATAGGACCAGCGTGTGGGTTTGAATGATGAAATGCTGTTCTCGAGCAGAGACAATTGAAGCCTACAGATGCATACAGCTCATGATGTGCTGTTCTCGCTAGGGTTGATGGATGTTTTTTATGAGGGGAGAAGAGACAAGAGCTGTTGACTGAAGATTGGATGCTAGTGTACAACTCCGTGATCTGTGTTAAATTTGTGGGCTCCCTCTGATGAAGCTTCGGCTTCATATCTGTCACTTTCTGTTGCGTGAGTTGCCAGGACATGAGGACTCCACTGCCACCTATTAACAATCTCTTATTGCATCGGCCTTGAATAGAACAATCCAGTATAGTGGAGATTGGGCTAAGATTTTTTAGATCAGTTAATACAGTTTAAGGTGGGTTCTTTCTTCAAAGTTACAACTTAGCTACAATAATGATACAGCAACAATAATGATACCACTTAGCTAAAATTTCACTGATACAGTTCATTAAAAACTTTAACATTTCATTGAAAACTTTAACATTTATTAAAAATGGTAGGGCAATGTTGTCATACTGTATGGGGCAAGGTGTCACAATGAAACCTGCCATTAAACATTCTATTATAGGCTTTTCAGCAAAATTAAACAATTATAAATCACATCAATATACAAAAAAAAATGCTAAAAGGTGACATGCAAACACATGTAACCAAACGTGATTAAAAAGTTTAGTGAAATTATAAAATTATTATATGATTTTAAATACGTGACAATTGCAACATAACGTTTATGAAAAGCAACTTTTTATCAACGAAACACGTTTTAAAGGGGTCATATGATGCGATTTAAATTTTTCCTTTCTCTTTGGAGTGTTACAAGCTCTTGGTGCATAAAGAAGATCTGTAAAGTTGCAAAGACTAAAGTCTCAAATCCAAAGAGATATTCTTTATAAAAGTTAAGAGTCAGCCACGCCTACCTAAAACGGCTCGTTCTAACACACCCCCACATACCTACATCACTATCTGGGAAGATTTGCATAACGCCGCCCAAATGTTCAATTCCAAAAAGTAAAGGGAAAATGACAAGAAAAGTTGTTCCTTGGTGGACAGACAAGTGTAGTAAAGCTGTGAGAGATAGAAATAAGGCTTTTAAACTTCTTAAGAGAACGCATAATTATAATCATCTAGTTTTATTCAAGAAAGCTCAAGCAGTTGTGAGGAGAACTAAAAGAGAAAGCTGGCATGGTTTCTGTAGTGGAATTGGAAGAACAACTCCAGTAGGTGATGTATGGAATATGATCAAGAGAATGAAAGGTAATAAGAAAGAGTGGGAATATCCAGTATTAGAGTCAGAAGGAGAAATAGCTGTAACGGATAAGGGCAAAGCAGAAATGCTAGTAAAACATTTGCACAAATACATGGGTCAGGGAACTTAGAGGAAGGAAAGAGGAGGAGAGAAATAACAAAGAGACAAAATATAGAAGCATTGGTAAGAAGTGGGGGAATAGAGGACCAGCCAATTAACTTCCCTTTCAACAGAGATGAACTGAAGAGAGCTATTTGTAATGCTAATAAAAAAACGTTCATCTCCAGGAAAGGATCAGGTCGGATATATAATGATAAGACATCTTAAAGATAGGGCTGTGGGAAAAATTTTAGAATTATATAATCGAGTATGGGAGGAAGGAAGACTTCCGAAAGTTTGGAAAGAAGCAATAATAGTACCTATAAGAAAGCCAGGAAAAGATCCTTCAAAACCCTCTAATTATGGACCGATAGCTCTTACATCGACATGGGTCAGGGAACTTAGAGGAAGGAAAGAGGAGGAGAGAAATAACAAAGAGACAAAATATAGAAGCATCGGTAAGGAGTGGGGGAATAGAGGACCAGCCAATTAACTATCCCTTTCAACAGAGATGAATTGAAGAGAGCTATTTGTAATGCTAATAAAAAAACGTTCATCTCCAGGAAAGAATCAGGTCGGATATATAATGATAAGACATCTTAAAAATAGGGCTGTGAGAAAAATTTTAGAATTATATAATAGAGTATGGGAGGAAGGAATACTTCCGAAAGTTTGGAAAGAAGCAATAATAGTACCTATTAGAAAGCCAGGAAAAGATCTTTCAAAACCCTCTAATTATAGACCGATAGCTCTTACATCGAACGTCTGTAAAATAATGGAAAGGATGATAACGGAAAGGTTGACATATTTTTTGGAAAAAAGAGGATTAATATCAAAATATCAAAGTGGTTTTAGAAATGGAAGAGGAACAATGGATCCTATTGTATGTTTAGAAAATGAAATTAGAAAAGCGCAGATAAATAAAGAGTCAGTAATAGCAGTATTTCAAAATGAAAGATGTAGAATACGTTTTGGGTGGAGTAGTAAAATGTATGCAGAAGAAATACAAGTAAATAAGATCAAGATGAGCCCAACAATATGAACCATGGGTTTATGTAACACCTCAAGAAGATTTGCATTTGTTGGAGGTTAAAACACAGAAAGAGAAGTTGACTTGCCATCTGCATTTTCAATGTATACCAGAGTCCAATACCCCTGGCATATACAAGTGTATACAGGTGGCACACATAGGAATATGGGGAAATGAAGAAGTGGATAAATTAGCAAAGCAAGCTTTAAAGAGAGAAACGATAGAGATACAAGTTCCATTAAGTAAATCAGAGATTAAGGTTTTAATATGGAGTAAAGTGATTAAAGAATGGCAAGTTAAGTGGAACAATGGGGAAAATGGTTGATTCCTTTACAGTTTAATAAACAAAGTCAGTCATAATATAAAGTGTATAGGTAAGTCAAGGAAAGAAGAGGTTATCTTTAACAGAATATTGCTAGGGCACTCACATTTAAATAGCACTCTTAAAATAACAGGGACACATCCAAATGGGTTATGTGAACAATGTCATGTTGAAGAAACAATACCTCATATATTTCTTGAATGTAGCAAAGTATGAACAAGAAAGAAGAAAATTATAGTTCAAATAAGGAAAAATGGAATTCAGGATCTTAATTTTAAGGTTTTAATAAAATGGGCAAGTGAAATAAATGGTAATGTATTCTTTGATTTTATAAGAGATACAGGGTTGGTAAAAAGAATTAAAAACTCCGTTTCACACTCCGGAGCAGAAGGTGGCGGTAATGCACCTATTTGCGTTGGTGCCAGCTGCCGTTAAAAACCAAGAAGAAGAAGGCGTCTCATTCTAATTATTCTACAGCTGCGGAGGTTTGACGATGGAGCATCTGTACTGGTCATGTGGATGCAAAAGGAAACAAAAGTAACTTCTCTGTCACTGACATCTTCTGAAAGAGCTCGTTGTGGAGGCGCCGGATTTCTGTATTCCGCGCGAATTTTCTACAGGAATCATTAAGTCCGCTTCTAGTTAAAGACGTTTACGGATGTTTGCATCTCGGTAAGAAACCTCAAACTTTCTCTAGAGAAACACAACACGTTCATTCCGTCCCGTAGACATGTATGAAACATCAGCTCCGTGTTTGCTATTTCAGTGCGACGTCTCTCTGTCTAGTGATGTAAAACATCTGAAGTAAAATGTAATGTAATCAATTAACAACCGCGCTGTCCGTGATGCTGAACCCATATTCAATAGTTCACATCTGAATTTATATATATATATATACCCTTTAACCTCTTCAAAATCAAGTTAGTGACGGTTTTTCTTTTTTCTCTCTAACGTTACGTTACTTGCAGGAAGACTCGATCTGAGACGCCGCCCTGTTGTTAGATCTTCCAGTATGTCAACTCACATGAGGCTTGTGTTGCATTTGCTAATGCTCTTCATATTTGCTGGTAAGTGTTTTAAAATTTTAAATGAATAATTTGAATAATAAATGATGACACGCACCATTTTGCCATTTAAAATAGGGAAAGAAAATGCTAGCGAGATATAGTAATATTAAGTGTTTTTTTGCTAAATCTTGTCATTTTTTCTGAATTTTAATAGCATTTAAATGTTAAACTGATCATATTATTAATAATAAGCATAAGAGTTTTTGTAATTTCTAAGATAATGTGTGGTTGTGATGAGCGCTACATGATATCACTATCAGAACTATGTATTAATGATTTTTTTTATTAATTAATATTTAATTATTATAATATATATAAATACATACACAGGTGCATCTCAAATTAGAATGTCGTGGAAAAGTTCATTTATTTCAGTAATTCAACTCAAATTGTGAAACTCGTGTATTAAATAAATTCAATGCACACAGACTGAAGTAGTTTAAGTCTTTGGTTCTTTTAATTGTGATGATGTTGGCTCACATTTAACAAAAACCCACCAATTCACTATCTCAAATTAGAATACTTCATAAGACCATTTAAAAAAAAAAAACAACATTGAGTGAATTGTTGGCCTTCTGGAAAGTATGTTCATTTACTGTACATGTACTCAATACTTGGTAGGAGCTCCTTTTGCTTTAATTACTGCCTCAATTCGGCGTGGCATGGAGGTGATCAGTTTGTGGCACTGCTGAGGTGGTATGGAAGCCCAGGTTTCTTTGACAGTGGCCTTCCATACCATTGTGTGTGTGTGTGTGTGTGTGTGTGTGTATGTATGTATGTATATATATATATATGGTATTTTATATAATATACCAAACCGCTTGAGTATTTGCAGGGACCCTTTTTTGAGTTACTTTAAATAGCCTCTTAAATGTCTTTACCTCCTAGTACATAAACCAGTTAATCATACATCAGAACATTAGTACAGGCAGTGTTTGAGGTATGTGAGGTACTTATTTGTGAGTCACAGATTCACATATCCGTTCAAAAAAACCGCAATCCCAAACAGAGATGGCATTGATTCAGCTCTAAACGGTCCCATAAGTGTCAGTGACTCACTGCTTCTACTCCCAGATTGTGGCAGTCTGGTGTCATCAGAACATTAAGAGATTTAAAATAGAATTTCATCTACCACTAACTTCGCGTTCTTTGACTAGGGGCAAAATATGTCAAGTCATCATTATTATACATTGTCTGTGCTTGTGGGATGGACAAATACATTTGCCATTTCCATTGGCCCATATGACCCTTCAAACAGAAAAGGCGCGATCAGTCTTGACAGCTTGTGCTTGAGGCTGTGAGTTATGTAAGATGGCCTCCATTTCAACAATGGCAGAGAGGTTATGTTCACAGTTGCGCGAACACTCCAGAACAATCTTCACATCACTGAGGCCTCGGCCCGGCCCCTGCTCAATGGGGTGTTCTCTGCCGCCAATACTGAGCATGTGTCTGCAGCAATAAGGTATGTTTTCGTCTGAGCGGGAGTTGGGAGTGCTGTGAGCTCCTTCTGGAATTGGAGCTTGTAATGGATGATGATCTCTCTCTTTCTCATTCTCTGGTGCTCCCTTGAGAAGTCTCTGCGTCGGATTTAATTGACCTCCATAAAGTATCTGCAGATTGAAGCTACGTTTTTGGAAAGGTGTTAACATCTCACTCCAAAGGGCATGATTGGATGTCCTACATGTTGATGAAAGATGCAGTGTGTGTGGTAATAATCTGCGTTTTCTGCAGTTCAGGAGGTCAGACTGGTGTGTGTGGATGTTGCATCAAACACAGAGGCCACCGTAGGTGGTGTTATGAAGTTAACCTGCATCTACTGCATGAAACGAGAAGAGATCTCTGCTGAGACCAAAGTGGACTGGTTCTACACCGGTTCTGCATCAGATTACCGAAGAATGCTTGTGAGATTACCTCTTAGCTTTTTTGCTGCATATTGTTGTATTTAAAAATGAGCATATCTGACACACAATCATCTCCTCTATGCAGATCTATCTGTATGATCGTGAACCACAGGAGCCAGAGGACGCAGAAATGTACTGGAAGGGCCGTCTGACATGGATCGGCAGCAAGGACCTGCAGGACCTCTCCATTAGCATCGTAAATGTCAGCGCAAATGACTCTGGCACATACGAATGTGAGGTGTCACGCTTCTTTGAGTTCGATTCATTCAAGCATTCCACCACCAAGAAAATGACAATTGAACTGAAGGTAAAAATGCAAGGTAAGTGAGCGAACACTCTGCTGGATGCTTGCAGTACCTCATCTAGCCATATTCAATCTGATTACTTCATCTCTACAGTGTGATTTGGATGGTTGCACCGCAGGCCATTTCCAAACATACTGTAACCTAAAAATCAGATACTGTTGACTAGAGCCCGACCGATATATCGTTTTGCCGATATTATCGGCCAAAATGAGCCTGTGAATATGCCGCCGAAATGAACATTGTTTTTACAGAACATATAATGCAGATAAAATGCTTGAAATGGTGTAATTACTTAGTTTGTCCAGCAGAGCACGCACCATTGTTTGCTACTGGCGAACCTGGATGAAACGCTTTAAAGCTTAAGTCTATGGAAAACCACTGAAACTTTAAACGGCCGTATCTCCGTAACGGCACGGCGAATCCGCACCAAATTCGGGGGATCCCTTCAGCTTGAAAAATCCTCTCGAACGTGAATCGAGTGTACGTCTCGAGGCCCTCTTTCGAATGAGATCACCCCTGCGTGGATAGCCCCCGGGGTTCGGGAGTTATGGGTGGTTAAATTCGCAGTCCGGCGCCGACCGATCTAGTGATCCCGGGGGCTACCGACGCACGGAGGGTGGCGTTCGAGAGGGCTCCTCGAGCTGAAGGGATCTCCCGAATTTGGTGGAGATCCGCCGGCGCGTTCGCGAGATGGTGACACCAGTCAACACTTTCCCTTCAGTTAGGAGGTCTCTTGTTCGGGCAGAAGCAAGCGTTGTCTTATTCAACCGTAAGTGCCCTGCAAAGTGGACTTCACATGAAATTCCGCCATGATTCCAGTTCCAACGGAACTTACACGTTACATTCAAAGGGCATTAAAGTGCGCGAGACGTGAATTTATATTGTATTTATTTACAGAGGTAGGGGAGAGCGGTGCACAAAGTAACACTTTTTGACTTTCTCAGTTTGTGTAAATCCACATGGGGTTCAGAATGAATATATATATATTTCCACAGTAATTTTGTACTTGTCTAGTGTTGCTTTGTTTCATAATTACAGTGTATACGTTTTTCTTTATTTACCCTCAAAAAATGGAAGTGAAATGTTGAAATGTGCCCCGTAGGTGGAACACATTGTAACATCTGAGGGGGACGTTGTAACTTGACCATATGACATCTTAAAATCTTATCTGATCGAATGAATTTACTTATATATATTTTTTTTTCAAAATAAAATAATGGCATTTAAGAATTAAAAATAATCAGATTTTGGAGTTTGGCAATGAACACATTGCAACCATGCTTGGGACGGCCCACATAAACTAGCAAAAATGCTTTACAAGTCTTGAAAAAATAATTTCTAAACATTGACCGTCAGTCTTTATTCACCTGTTTCTCGTTTTTTCTCGTTAAAATTAAAGTAATAGTGTAAATTGCATCGCTAATGTCATAGAATAGCACATTGTAATGCAGTGTTAGAACGTGCCCCATCTGCGCAACTGGAGCGAATGGGAAAGTGTCCAAACTTTTGACTGGTACTGTACTATAATAAACACAAAGAATATCGGCCCCAAAAAAACCCATATCGGTCGGGCTATACTGTTGACCTCAGTACAGTGTCCTTCCTTCTATATAGTTCAACTGTGTCCTGATGTGTTGTTTGCGTTCTAGTAATGCTGTGCTCTGTTCTGTTTTTATTGTTATTTAAGCCTACTTATTGGAAGGCAGGAAGTTGTTTTCAGGGCTTAATCTAAGCAGCCACTTGCCTCTCTATCTGTTGTAAGGGGTAATGTAAAGATTCCGGTTTGTATGCTATTCTCTGGATGCCTGAGATTGCTGAATGCAGAGTACTTCCCCTCACTTCAATCGAATTTACTTTACCTAATGTATATTTGTCTATATTTAATCATGCAACCGCAATGCATCATCTCTATCTGCGAGTGTCTCGGTTCGCAGATAGAAATAGACAACGTTGTATTTAAGTGGTGGGTTTAGAGGATATTTTGAATTGCAAACAGCCTTCCAGAACCACAAACTTACAGTACAACTCTGCTTTTACATTCAATGTCATTTTAGATCCGTTCACTGCAGTGCATGAGACATTTGTAAAGATACTCTTTATAATGTGATCACAGGTCCTTTTTGACAATTGTACAAGATTTTGTAGAATCATATGCACTTGTTTTCTCTAAAATGTCACATGCGCTGCACTATCATTGATGTATACAGTGGTTCTTACCTTTTAAAACCCATTTTCAAATGCCGAACAGTCTGTTGATAAATTATTCATATAATCAGATCCGTGTGGGTGGGCTTCTGTTCTGAAGGGTGAAGCTGAGAACCTCTGAGCACACAATCACTTTGCGTTTTTTTTCTTTTCTTTCATCTTTAAAAGAAAATTTACCTGTCTTGCAGTATGTCGTATAACCTTTAAGTCTTATTGTGCTCCAAGGGAAAGCTGACATAAAGTATCTGAGCATGTTTGTTTCATTGTGTGGTTTTGTGTTTGCATGCTGTAGGAAAAGATATCCAATTTACCGGTCAAACCCCACATATTAGAAAACTGAATCAAAAAAGTGAACTGGAAATCCCTTTTGATGATTTACTTGTAGAATCAATCCAGAGGAGGCATCACCGGGACGTTAAAAAGAAAAGCAAGTTGGAGATGAAGGAAAGTAGAAGGTGCCAGACAAGAGACAGTAGAGATGATATCGATGGCTAAGGAGCTTCTTCTGATAATTCGTCAACATGAACGTGTGAATAAACGGTTAATGAAAAGGGATAAACAATTTATTGATTTAGTTTAATTTGAAAATTGAATTTTTGAAAGGCGAGGTTGACCGTTTGACACTTCAAAGAGTCAGCGCCGCCTCTAAAGAATAAACCGTTAACTGGCATCTTGTCAGAGCGAGAGCAGGTGTTCTCTTGGTTAACAGCTATCGAATGGAAAATGCTGAAGTGTGAAAACTCGCTCCCATATATTTGAAAAGGTGTTGCTATTGTGAAGTAGGAAAATGTTTAGCTGTGGTAAGCACAAAAGGTCAGACATCCTGTGTTAGCGTGTAGGAAATAAACTTAGTTTGAACCTCCTCATATATGGTATTACAACCCGCTGAAGAGAGGGGTGTGACCAGATGTTTAGTGTAACTTGCATCTATCCAATAGGGAAGATTTAGTGAATGCTTTGCAGGGGAATTGAATTTTTGAAAGGCGAGGTTGACCGTTTGACACTTCAAAGAATCAGCGCCGCCTCTAAAGAATAAACCGTTAACTGGCATCTTGTCAGAGCGAGAGCAGGTGTTCTCTTGGTTAACAGCTATCGAATGGAAAATGCTGAAGTGTGAAAACTCGCTCCCATATATTTGAAAAGGTGTTGCTATTGTGAAGTAGGAAAATGTTTAGCTGTGGTAAGCACAAAAGGTCAGACATCCTGTGTTAGCGTGTAGGAAATAAACTTAGTTTGAACCTCCTCATATATGGTATTACAACCCGCTGAAGAGAGGGGTGTGACCAGATGTTTAGTGTAACTTGCATCTATCCAATAGGGAAGATTTAGTGAATGCTTTGCAGGGGAGAAATATTGTATATGCCCTCTCCTATATAATCCAATGTTTTATCAGATTTGTGCTGCCGCAATTCGGGTGAAGACTACTCGCTGTTACTTTTTTATATTATTTGCTTATGAGTTACTGTTTTTAATGAAGTGAAACCATTTTTATATGGTGATTCGATAAACTTTCTTTTAAACAAGTCTCTGAGTAATTTATTAAGAGTAACCTATTTGGATTTGTTCATAAATCTTCAATACGGGCCACATAGAGGTGTGAACTCCGCTGAGCTGATCAGGACATCGTGCTGAGGATCTTGGATCTCATATTAGTCCAAAATGCAGCGGCTAGAGTCCTTACCAGGTCAAGAAAATATGATCATATTACCCCAATTTTACTGTCTCTGCACTGTTAAGTTCTCTCAGTTACAAAATATAATTACTTGCCTATAAGGCCCTTAATGGGTTAGCTCCTGCGTATGAGTTGAATATTACACTTCCCATCCATATAAGAGGTAAGGGCTGTATTTGTTTATTACAGCTGCTGGTGGGGGAAAAGATGTGATTATTGGGTCTTTACATGAAAAATTATATAATGCAAATGATTTACTGTAATGTATTTTCTAAGGGACAGGCAGAAAAATGAAATTGATCCATTTCTGCATAATGAACACCTAACTGAACTTTAAAGGGATAGTTCACCCCAAAATGGAAATTCAGTCATCATTTACTTACCCTCATCATGCCTTTCTGAACCTGAATGACTGACTGACTTTTGCAGAACACAAAATTATATTTTTTTGAAGAATGTCGGTAACCAAATAGTTTTGGTTCCTGTTTACTTCAATTATATCCATTCAATGGGAAGCAAAACTGTTTGGTTACCAACACTGATCAAAATAAATAATTTATGTTTCAAAAAAGTCATACAAATTGGGAAATACATGAGGCTGAGTAAATGCCTGAATTTCCATTTTTGGGCAAACCACACCTTTAAATTAAAATCAACTTAAAATTAATTGTCCATTGTGCATGCTATGCTTTTGTTCATATAACAATAATAAAAAAATGCATAAAAACGTGCAAAAAAGTGGTTAAAATTGTTATATGAAGCCATTCAATCAGAAATGTACAGTACCACCTGGATGCAAAGCATGACTGCTCATCTCTGAGTTGACTTATAGTTGCACTTGGTTATAGTTTTCTGGTGACCTGAAATGGCTTTAATGACTCTCCTAATGCATTACAGCAGATCAGCTATATTTTGCCCACTCATGCATTTTGCACTTTTGTCCTCATTTTCAGTACACTTGAGACCGTCTGAGTCACTTTCTGGATGAATTCATCACAGACATCCTTAGTGGCACAGTATCAGTCCAACAGGTCTCCTCTGATTGCTCAATTAATTGTACAAAATTCCCTCTGATTGCGTTTTTTCATTTTCTCAGCGAGTGTAGACACCGCAGCGCTGTACTCAAAGATCATGATGTATGTGCTGCTGGTGTTCCTCACACTCTGGTTGCTGGTGGAAATGATCTACTGCTACAGGAAGATCTCCAAATCTGAGGAGCTGGCTCAGGACACTGAGTGAGTATTACTTTATCACGTGTCTTCAGTTACAGTCTTACGTTAACAAGTTTGAGGGGACCATTTAAAGGAATAGTTCACCCCAAAATTAAAATTTGCTAAAAATGTACACACTCTCAGGCCATCCAAGACGTAGATGAGTTTGTTACTTCATCAGAACAGATTGGGAGAATTTTGCCTTACATCACTTGCTCTGCAGTGAATGGGTGCCATCAGAATGAGTTAAAACAGCTGATAAAAACATCACAGTAATCCACATGACTCCAGCACATCAATTAATGTCTTGTAAAGTGAAAATCTGTGTGTTTGTATGAAGCAAATCCATTATTAAGGCATTAAACTGTCACTTCTGGCCAAAATACCAGTCCTTAATTCATTATAATGCTTCTTTCAATGAAAAAGCCCATCCTCTGTTGTCCTCTCACATCAAAATCCACTGATCTTACTGTCATTTGACACAGCATTGGGCCATTTAACCCTGTCTTTTCTTTCTACTCTTTCTTTACCACAGTTTAATTTGTTGTCAGTCATTTCTTCTTGATTTGTTTGTCCGTGATTATATTGCTGTCCTCACTCTGCCAGCAGGAAAAAAAACACGGAGATCCCCAAACTTCAGCATTATTGAGTATTCAATATCAGAATCACTGAATATTATAGCGATAAGTCAGCCAAAAAATAAATTGTAATTGCTTACTTGCCTCATGTCATTCCAGACCTTTTTTTTTTGTCCTCTCCAAAAAAGACATTTGTGAAGAATCTTTGCACAGCTTGTCATACAATGACCACTTAGTGATTATTAGGGAATAATGACTTACATTTGTACTTAAATTAAGTTTATTATATTTTAAGGGTCTATTTGCATATTTTGGAGCCCTTGGCCACTATGAACTGTCTTTATATGGCACACTGAAAAGAAATGTTTACCTAAAACGTGCTTCATCTGTTAATATCTACATTAAATTTTTATTCAAGACATATAGGAATATCTCCTTAAAATGATCACTTTTTTATTGTGCAAGAGCTGCATTAAAAATACTTTTGTTTTGTGTTACATGGAAACAAACACCATACAGATTTGGAATGACATGAGTAAAAAAAGCTATAATTTGGGTGAACAATCGCTTTAATGTGGTGATGGTAGGAGTCCTGGTTAAATTGGTGCAGCAGTGTACCCTCAACTCTTAGTTTTTGCCTTTTTCTTTTGTACCTATTTGTCTACAGGACAGACTACTTAGCCATTCCCTCTGAAAATAAAGAAAACCTGGACCCCGCTGTAACGGAATAAAAGTCTCACACCATTACGGTATTTTTGAATTTACCTCTCAATTAGAAACATCATCAACAATTCCCCGCTCATCCCGAGTAGCTGACTAGAACCCTTCCACCATCACTGTCTGTTTCTCTTTCATTGTTCACATCCTCTCTTAAAGGGGTCATGACACAATTTTTTTTAATTATAATTTTAATATGTTCCTTGAGGTTTACTTATAATGTTAAAGTTTTTTTGCACAAAAAAACTAAGTAATATGTGAAAAAATTATTCTTTTCAACCCTCATTCTGACCCTCTGTCTAAAACGACCTGTTTTAAGGGGCGCGTCCTTTAAGGCTTGTCAGTAATCAGTCACTGTTATGATTGGCTAACGTCATAGCATAGGAAACCGTATCAACGGCCCCTTGCTATTACATGTATTTTGATATAAAAAATAAAAAAATGGTCTTTCACTCCATTTGTGCTATTGACGACAGACTCAAGTCCGTGGACTGCGTCAGAAAGCGAACGTGCCTCTGTATCCAGTGTAAACAAGACTTTTCGGCAGTGATTGTAATTTCTATTTTCTTTTGGTGGGCGGGCCCTATGGTGAGAAGATTACTATTCGTCGATGTCTTGCTCTGGAGGCAATGTTTATGCAAATGTTTGTGCCCCTGTGATGCCAAACAAGCCGTTTTTGGAACTTGATTAAATAAGTGATTTGTTTATAATGAGGAGGAGGTTTTAAGCTATGAAACCTGCCGGTGTTTTAATGGTACAAAGACCTCTTATATGCCAAATGATCAAGGCAAATTTGATTTCTCATGTCATGACCCCTTTAACATCACCGGATTTTCATTCCCATCCACTCAAACACATGCCACTCTTTTGTTCATTGCCATATCTGTCCAAGCAATTACTAACTACAGCTGATCTCTCAAGATAATTCAATGAGAAGTAAAGTAAAGTACAGCTGCAGTATTGCTGAGGTCAGGGTTTGTTCTCTTTGTTATCTCCTTGATCGATGATTTTACTTTGTGTAAAGTGATTTGGAATATGAGAATGCATTGATAGATGTGATATGACATGGATCCATTTATTCTAAATTGCACTGCTCTTTTTTTATTTACTTTTTTTTTTCTTCTCCTCTATGCAGCTTCCTGCAGTGTCATCTGATATGTTTTACCAGAACTGGAGTGATTTGTAATTTGATGAGGACTTTTTGTTGTTGGTGGGGGTTATATAACATGTTCTTCTAATTGAAAACCGTGTGGAATTTTCTAGAAACACGATTTGAGTAGTGTGGAAATGTAGATATTTATTAATGGAACACAGTTGCATTTCTAAAAATGTTTTATTTTATTTTATTACTACTATTTTAATTTTAAAGGGGTCCTATTATGCTTTTTCACTTTTTCAACTTTAGTTAGTCTGTAATGTTGCTGTTTGAGCATAAAAAAAACTGCAAAGTTACAGAGCTCAAAGTCCACTTCAAAAGGAGATATTTTATTTAACAGAAATCACTTTTCAAAAACTACAACAAACGACTCGTTTGGACTACAACGCATATTTTCCGGGATTTGTGATATCACAAATATCGACGAATAGGACGAGACCTGGTTGAGCTGCACTAGAGAAGGCAACGAGTGTTATCACTATGTCGGAGACACGCTAGCTTTCCCAAGGCAGACGAACTTAGAGTGGTTACAATCATCCGGGTTTAAATCGCGCTCAAATTGATTTGATATTGAGCAATATTTACACTGAAGCTCGCAGGCGGCTGTGGTAAGGAGCGTGACATTT